AATGTATTGGGTTTCCGTATTCTTACTGTCTTTGTGGGTCTATTGATTCATGCACATGAAAAGAAAAATAATGAGTTATTATTATTTTTTTTATACCTTTTGATGTCTTGGTTTTTTAGGTAGCAAAGTTGCAGGACGACAACAGAGCACTTGATCGGCTTACTAAATCCAAGGAGGCTGCTCTAGTTGAGGCCGAGAGAACTGTTCAGATTGCTATGGTAAAAGCATCCTTGGTTGACGATCTGCAAAACAAAAATCAAGAGCTGATGAAACAGATTGAAATATGCCAGGTATGTATGTTCTCTGAGTTTTCCTGCTGCAGGCAATGTGTGTGATTGAGGGAATGTACCGTGGGTTTTGTACTAGCATTAGACACTATTTTTTGTAACATGTACTAGTGGATTATCAGGAGGAGAACAAAATTCTTGACAAAATCCACCGGCAAAAAGTAGCTGAGGTTGAGAAGCTAACACAAACCGTTCGTGAGCTTGAGGAGGCTGTTTTAGCCGGTGGAGCTGCTGCCAATGCTGTGCGTGATTACCAGCGTAAAGTGCAGGAGATGAATGTAATAAACATTTCTTGGAACTCCAGTTCTTGCAAATCACTTCGTAGTTGTTCTGAGTCGGTCACAAATGCAAACTGCCTCTAACCTTCAAGCTTGCGTAGGAGGAGAAAAAACTGTTGGAACGGGAGGTGGCTCGTGCGAAGGTCTCTGCAAATAGGGTTGCCACTGTTGTTGCAAATGAGTGGAAAGATTCCAGTGACAAAGTGATGCCCGTAAAACAATGGCTTGAAGAAAGGAGATTTTTTCAGGCATGTTACAACTTCAATGCCACCTCATCATTTCTGCATGCAATTCCTTTAATTTGTACAAATAGTCATTTCGTTTCATTGTCTCTAGTTGCATCCTTAACCCAAGAGGTTGGCATTATGGCAATTTTATGGGGCTTAGGCGCTTCATGCTGGATAAGGCAACTGCATGGACCTAGTTATTATCAATTAAAATGTCGACCAGATGCCTTGTCAGCCCAAAAAGAAAGCATGAATTGGATATTTTTTTTCTACTTTAAATTGTTCTAAAATTTAATGATCATCTATGTTAACCCAAGAGGTTTAACATATGGAATTATGATCTAGTACCATAGGTGACCTGCAATGATTATTGTTGGCCTACTGTCAAGATGCATGTAGGATAGTGATACAGACTACCCTGTATCCAGGACCTTAAAACAGATATCCCATCTGGAAAATGGTTCTTTATTGCATAGACCACATATAATGCTTTTGAGTAGTTGCTGGAAAACGGGATGTGCGCGCGGGTGTGCGTGCCGTTGTTCTAAGATGGTTTATTTTGCCTTAAGAAGCGGCGGTGGAAGTGAAAACAGATCAGGAAAGGAACAGTTAATTTTGTTTGAGATTGTGTGCGCGCGGGTGTGCGTGCCGTTGTTCTAAGATGGTTTATTTTGCCTTAAGAAGCGGCGGTGGAACTGAAAACAGATCAGGAAAGGAACAGTTAATTTTATTTGAGATTTAAAATGAAATATTTGACATGATTTTTGTAGGGAGAAATGCAACAACTTCGAGACAAACTGGCAGTAGCTGAGCGTACTGCAAAGGCAGAAGCACAATTAAAGGTATGCTAACTGTTTTGAATTTAGTCTGCTCTGACAAGTAAGGGTAACTGTTTCCTAGTATGTGTTTAAGTCTCTTCTTAACAGTTGAGCATTAATTGATTTCTTAGGAAAAATACCAACTAAGATTCAAGGTTTTGGAGGAAAAGTTTAAAGCATCGAATGGAAAATCCCGCCCATCCTCAGATGCAAGAATCATCAGCAATGGGCCTTCAAGGTCTCAGTCTCTTGGTGGAGCTGAGAACTTCTCTATAGCGTCCTCTAATGGCTATCTATCTAGGACAAAATCAAATTTACAATCTGGTTTCAACCGTTCCAACACTGCTACTGTAATATTGAAACAAACCAAGAGTTCATCTAGATCGTTTGATGGTGGTAGTAGATTGCTAGACAGAGATAAGCTAGTCCCAGATGCAACTGGGAAAGATAACACACACAGTGCCAGTGATCAGACTCAGATGGATGAGACAATTGGTAGACATGAGGAGAGGGCAAATGGATCTTTGGCTGAACAATCCAGAACAGAGCATGAAGATTATGTTTCTGGAGTGCTGTATGATATGTTACAGAAAGAGGTCGTATCTTTGAGGAAAGGTTGCCATGAGAAAGATCAAACCCTCAAGGACAAGGATTATGCTATTGAGGTTAGCTAGTAGGACCTATCTCATTAATTTTGCAACCTCTCTCCACTTTTGTTTTGCTCTTAACTTGTTTCTTGTGTGGAATCAAATAGATGTTGGCAAAGAAGGTGGATACACTTAACAAAGCAATGGAGGTTGAGGCCAAAAAGATGCGGAGAGAAGTAGCTGCCATGGAAAAAGAAGTCTCTGCTATGCGTGTCACCAAGGAGCCTGATCAGAGGGCACGGCGCTCAAGTGCTCCCCGAGGGGTTGTAAATAGCTCTCATACACTTTCTTCTAGGTAAATAGTTGTGTATAATCTTTAATGGCCTGAAACTGATGCACTAGTTGTGGAACAGGCCGTCATTCTTGTTCCTGCTAAGTTCTTGATTATATAAAATAAACAAAAATGCATGGCGCGATATCCTTTTTTCTCCTTTTTTGGTCATCACATGGTGTGATATCAAATGCTGAAAGTTGATTGATAACTTTTGAGCTACTTCGAGTAGAAGACCATTGATAAATCTGAACAAAGTTTTCTTCTTTCTTTCAGGAATGCCCACAAGTCTAGGTGATTGACATGGCCATGACACAATGGCCACATCAAGGGCGCCCCACTGATTCTTCGGGTCCGCAATCAATATAATTGTATGGTTTTGTCATGAGTTTTCGCTCGTCTCCATCTATTTAAGTTGTCTTGTCCAGGTAGGCAATTTGTAAAGAACTGACTTGAGGTTTCTCAGGTCACCCTGCCTTGTATATTTCTTTTGTACTAATATTTCCCGGAAATATACCACCGAGGGTGGCATGAAAGTTATGAAAGAGATGTGGCTTGTTAGATGCTTTTCAAGGAAACTGCAGACATGATAAAACTCTGTATACCATAAATGTATATTGGTAAGGAAGTTCACGTTAATTCAATACAGCTTTTAGGCGACATAGCCTTTTCCAAAAATGGTTTACTGGGTTGATGGCATAAAAGGTTTTGTGCGGAAGAGTTAAGCTGCCTTACAAGGATTTGCTATTTAACCATTGTATGAAATATTCTTCCTCATCGTTCAAAGAATATACCGTCATCGAAAACAAAATTTGAAGTCCTTAATTTGAATTAATCTGATGGTGTCTCTCATTTACTTTTAACAAATATTTAGTCAGATCAGTTGGTATTCTTATGTTTTAAGTGGTGTACAACGGACTACCGAGGACTACTACTAATCTGGTCTGACACCAATATTTATCACAACTTAACAATTTTGGTCTAATATTGTGAGTAGAATTAGACTCAATGGACTCATCCAGGTTGTCCAGGTATTGGTCTGGGGAAATTGGCTCGGGTTGGAGGTTGATAAGGTGGTGGGTTGTTGTTGGAGAGAGAGAGAAGAGAGAAGAAGGGTGGTAGAGATTAGCGCATGTAGTGGATTGTGATCTTATAATATTACATAAACACCATGCATACTGCTTGATTTGTAAATTATAAACAAGTTTCATTTTTGATAATGTCGTCATATGAAATTCGTAGGATTTGAGAGTTTTTAAAAACATACATATATGGCAGGACCTCTTGTTTCATATCTATGACGAGATATTTACACTAATACCTTATGAGGTTTCTTGTGTTTTCACAAAATCCCTTCAAGTCTCAAATATTACATGAACACTCCCTGAGGTTTCAGTTTGTTTTCACAAAACTCTTTTCGTTGATTGTTTGTCCAAAAATTGATGATTTTATTGAATTTTTTTTTTATGCAAATGACAAAATTAACCTTAGAGCATACACAATCATGCTCTCTATTTTTTAGTTAAGTTTTAGCTAAAAACATATAAAAGTTACTTTAGGAGATCTCTATAAAATTTAAACTCCAATCATGCTCTGTAGTTTAGGAGGTCATAAATGCTATAACTCTTTTTTAATTGATCAATCTCTATTAAAAAAAATAATATAAAAAATAGTTAAAATTAATTAAAGGTTTGAAATACTCATTAAATAAAGCATCATTAAATTATAGGGAGCCACTAGGAGTCCTTTCTCTCTCCTCAGATTTAGGAGCTTCTATAGGTCTCCTTATTTTAGGAGGTGGATAGGGAGCATGGTTGGAGTTGTATTTTTCCAATTCCTCTCTAAAATTTGTCTAAAGAGGTGGTTTAGGGAGCCCATTGTGAATGCTCTCAATAAAGTATATGAAGGACAACTGTCATTTGGAGGATTTTTTTTTTTGTGTGTATAAAATCATCAATTTTTAGATGAAAAATAAATGAAAATGAGCTTTGTGAAAACAATTTAAAACCTCAGGGGGTGTTCATGTAATTTCTAAAACCACAAGGAGTTTTGTGAAAAAGTCAAAAACCTCAAGGGGTGTTAGTATAAATAACTCTTGACTACCTCTAATAGTTTATTTGAAAAATATGCGACGCAAGTATTGTTTTGGATATTATTTGTCTGACTTGTACTCCATATTTGTGGTCTTAAATATCCCATTGACTGAAATTGCTACTTTAAACTTCTAATAGCTTAGGTGCTGATGTGGTTGAACTATTTACCCCACAACTCAACTTGACTTGGAAGTCTTCGCATGTATGATTGTAGCAGTATCATTGTCAGTATATTATCTTTATCAGAGACTTGGAAGTCGTTTAATCGATGTTCACACAATTTGTGTAGGTAGGGACCACGCATAATTTTGAACAATCGAAGTGTACAAAAGCTCAACCATCTGAATTCTCATTTACTCCTATATACAGGGCATCTCTATACTCTTTAATCTTGCAGACTCATATCTTTAGTCCTACAGATCATCCCATTGCTTAAGAATCATGGGTCACAGCAGTGCTAGTGCTTCCATCCAACTCGTCTCACTAATAATACTGTTAGGAATTTTATCCCTTGAAACCATTAAATTCGGTTTCTGCAGTGATGATCATAATGTGAGATGCATAGATATAGAGAGGAAAGCCCTTCTCAAGCTCAAACAAGGCCTCACAGATCCTTTCGATCGGCTTTCGTCTTGGGTGGGAGAAGATTGCTGCAAATGGAGTGGTGTAGGCTGCAACAACATAACTGGACGTGTCAACATGCTCGATCTTCGCAATCGCTATTCAGATGGGTTAGATGGTTACGGATCAATAAAGCATGCATTTGGTGGTGAGATCAATCCTTCTTTGCTTGTTTTGAAAGATTTGGTTCACTTGGATTTGAGCATGAATAACTTTGAAGGTGTCCAACTTCCAAGTTTCATTGGATCACTAGAGAAACTGAAATACCTCAATCTCTCTCGTACATCTTTTGTTGGAGTCATTCCCCCCACTCTTGGAAACCTCTCAAGGTTGCTTTATCTTGATCTTAGTAATTTCCTTTTTCCTAACCCAATTGAGACTGACCTTCAGTGGCTTGCAACTCTTTCTTCCTTAAAGTACCTTAACTTGGAAGGAGTGGACCTTACCAAGGCTACACCCTATTGGCTTCCCACTGTTAATATGCTCCCTTCACTTGTTGAATTGCATTTGCCCCTTTGTGGACTTTCCATCCTTCCTCTCACTCTTCCTTCTATCAATTTCACATCTCTTTTGGTTCTTGATCTCTCTAACAACGATTTCAAATCCACAATACCTCCTTGGTTGTTCAATCTCACTGAACTACAGATGTTGGATTTGGCATATAACAGTCTGACAGGAAAACTTCCTGATTCTTTGGGATATCTTAAAAGCTTGAGATACCTCATATTGGCGGCTAATTCATTGAGTGGGATCATCCCAGAATGTCTTGGGGAGCTCTCATCCTTGGTTTCACTAGATATCTCTTACAACACATGGGAAGGTGCCATTACAAAAGCTCATTTCTCGAAACTTGGAGGCCTGAGAGAAGTATCAATTATTGCAAATGATGCCCCAAACATTTCCTTGGTTTTCAACATAAGTTCTGATTGGATACCTCCTTTCAAATTAAGATACTTGGACATTAGATCATGCCAACTGGGTCCCAAATTTCCTACATGGCTTAGAAATCAGACTGAGTTGACCACGGTGGTACTCAATAATGCTAGGATTTCAGACACCATACCAGATTGGTTTTGGCAGTTGGATTTGCAATTTGATAATCTAAATGTCGCTCATAATCAACTAAGCGGCAGGGTGCCCAATTCATTAAGATTCAGCTATGATTCCAGTGTTGATTTGACTTCAAACCGCTTTGAAGGTCCACTCCCACTATGGTCCTCAAACATTACATGGCTGTATCTTAGAGATAATCTATTTTCAGGGCCAATTCCTCATAACATTGGTCAAGTGATGCCCAATTTGACACGTCTAGACATTTCTAGGAACTCTTTGAGTGGAAGCATTCCCCTGTCCATTGGTAATTTAAGCCAATTACATTTCATGTTGATGTCAAATAACCTCTTGTTTGGTGAGATTCCTCATTTTTGGAACAATATACCATCGTTGTATATTGTAGACATGTCAAACAACAGTCTCTCTGGTACAATCCCAAGATCCTTAGGCTCTTTTACTTCACTCAGAGTCTTGTTCCTCTCCAGCAACAACTTTTCAGGTGAAGTTCCTTCCTTGAAAAACTGCACTAACCTGAAGATTCTTGATCTTGGTGATAACAAGTTTTTTGGACCGATTCCAGCTTTCATTGGTGAAAGCATGCTCTCTTTAAAGATTTTATGCTTGAGGTCCAACTCATTTACTGGAAGCATCCCTTTACAATTATGTGGCCTTTCCACTCTCCATATATTGGACTTCTCACACAACAATCTTTCCGGAAATATTCCCCACTGCATAGGTAATTTGAATGGCTTTAAATCTGAGGTCAAAGACATGGATACAGAATCCTACGGTTATTTGGGAAGATTGTTGGTGGTGTCAAAAGGAAGAGTGCTTGTATATGACTCCATCCTTTACCTTGTTAATAGCGTTGATCTCTCGGACAATAACTTGTCAGGAGAGATGCCTATGGGGATAACAAGCCTAATAAAGTTGGGCACCTTAAATTTGTCCATGAATTATTTGACAGGAAATATCCCAGCAGATATCGGAAACTTGGGGTGGATAGAAAGTCTTGATCTATCAATGAACAAACTTTCAGGTTCAATTCCACAAAGCATGGTTTCTTTAACATTTTTGAATCATCTGAACCTGTCATACAATAACTTGTCCGGGAAAATTCCAACGGGTAACCAATTTAAGACCTTTGTTGACCTGTCAATTTATGAGGGCAACCCCGGTCTTAGCGGGTGTCCATTACCAACTGGTTGCCAAGACAATGAAGGAGCACCTCAAGTTCCAAGTGGAGATGGAGGAGAGGATGATGACAGTAAACTTGAAAAGCTACAGTTCATCATTAGCATGGTGATAGGTTTCTGTGCAGGGTTCTGGGGAGTTTTTGAGACTTTGGCCATGAAGAGGTCTTGGAGACATGCCTATTTTCACTTCCTTGACAAAGTGAAAGATGCTGTCCTTGATTTTGTCTCAGCCATTGGTACTTATCTGCAGAAAAGATCGTAGAGCATAGAAGAAGCTGCACATGTGAAGGAATATGTATGCAAGCAAATAAAGCAAAGTTTAGTATTGTCCTTTACAATTTTGTAAGTTGGTTATTGTAATATGAATTTATACTTTTGTGTATTGTGCCTTAACGAAACAATTGCTTCAATCCATTTGAGTCAGAAAATAAAAAGATTTAACGAAGTTCCTCACAACAAATATAACTGAGGTATGTCCTAGAGCAGCATATGCAAACACGTCCACTATCAACAAATTAGGATGTTTACAAAGTATTTGGCAACCTCACAACCCAAAGCCCCAAATACACCCAATAACACTCACCGCACAAAAACAAAAAGAGGAGGAAATTATGAACCTTAACTAATGCTCTCTGGGCCCAAGTGCTAAAAGGGCGTTATTTTCCGGATGATGATTTCACTAATGCCGTATGCCGTTGGTGGAGCCAGACCTTCATGGGTTTGGACAAGTCTTCTGGAAGGAAAAAGGGCAATCATTGATAGAGGTCGAATACAGATCCTAAATGGTGAGAATATATACTTGTATCTGATCTGACAGCTGGCCCTCCCCTGCAGATGATGGTCGTATTACTCCGATCAACCCTATCCCCCCTTCTGCAGAGATTGGACTATTCTAGCCCTAATCAATCAGACTCGCAGGATGGAATCCAACTTTGAGTCAGTTGAGTGGTTTTGGACCCCTGGGAATTTGAATCGTGCTGCTCATGAAGTGGCAAGGATTGGTTTGGGTGCGGTGGATTTGCAAAGATGGGCTGATAGGCCACCTCCATCCTTGGTTTGTGTTCTGGTTTCAGATGGTCTCCCTTGTCCCCCCGTAAGGGACCTGGGTGGTGTTTGAGGGAAATAAATCATGCTACGCTTTGGAATTGGCTGTAGCGATGTTGTCAAATTTTGGTACTTTGTAGTATGTTATTAGCAAGTTTTGACAGTAGATAGATAGTATGATATGGTCAAAAAAATATATTGTACTTATTTTAAATACTGATTGTGAGTCTATAAAAAAAACAAAGTCTGTAAGTGGAACTTTTGTACAACCAAGATAAGATTTGATATATAGTCTTCTATGTTAATCTTCAGTCTATTTATACTTAAAAACTGAAACCTTCTATATTACTGGATTTTAAGTATTATTGCCTTTTGGATTAATAGTTTGAATTTCTTTAGTAGATTAGATTATTTAAAGTAATTAGTTTTGTGAGTTCACACGAAATCAATAGTTTTAATTAAACACATGATGAACAATTCCATAACCAATTTACGGTCCAAACCCATCAACCAAAGTTGATCTTCACTGAACTTTTTTAGTAATTTTTCTATTTCCTCAAAAGAGCCCATCCTTTACCAGTCATCAAAAACGTATCTGGAAGTCTTTTATATGATTTCATTTACTTGTAGCAAATATTTAGTTAGATCAGTTGTCATTCGGAGAATTTTTTTTTTGTGGATAAAATCATCACTTTTTGGATGAAAAATTAATGAAACGGAGTTTTGTAAAAACAATTTAAAACCTCAGGGGATGTTTGTATAATTTTGAAAACCTCAAGGTGTAAAAATTTATGTAAATAACTCTTCTATGACTACGTCAAATAGTTTATTTGAAAAATATGCGACGCAAGTATTCATACTCCATATTTGTGGTCTCAAATATCCCATTGACTGAAATTGCTACTTTAGACTTCAAAGTCATTATATGGCTTAAGTGTTGATGGGGTTGAACTATTTACCCCACAAGTCAAGATTGTAGCAGTGTCAGTATTTTATCTTTATGAAAGACTTGGAAGTCGTTTCATAGATATGGAACCAGAGATCCTATATACAAGATAGCGTGTCCGCGACGACGCGTACAAAAGCTCAACCATCTGAATTCTCATTTTAATCTTGCAGACTCATATATTTACTCCTACAGATCATCCCATTGCATAAGAATCATGGGTCACAGCAGTGCTAGTACTTCCATCCAACTTGTCTCACTAATTATACTGTCATGAATTTTATCCCTTGAAACCATTAAACTCGGTTTCTGCAGTGATGATCATAATGTGGGATGCATAGATATAGAGAGGAAAGCCCTTCTCAAGGTCACACAAGGCCTCACGGATCCGTCCGGACAGCTTTCGTCTTGGGTGGGAGAAGATTGCTGCAAATGGAGTGGTGTAGGCTGCAACAACATAACTGGACGTGTCAACAGGCTCGATCTTGGCAATCGTGATGGGTACGAAGAGAATGGATTTGATGGTGAGATCAACCCTTCTTTGCTTGTTTTGAAAGATTTGGAATACTTGGATTTGGGCATGAATAACTTTGGAGGTGTCCAACTTCCAAGTTTCATTGGATCACTAGAGAAACTGAAATACCTCAATCTCTCTGGTTTATATTTTGTTGGAGTCATTCTCCCCAATCTTGGAAACCTCTCAATGTTGCTTTATCTTGATCTTAAGAGTCATGAAACTCTTGAGACTGACCTTCAGTGGCTTACAACTCTTTCTTCCTTAAAATACCTTAACTTGGGAGGAGTGAACCTTACTAAGACTACATCCTATTGGCTTCCCACTGTTAATATGCTCCCTTCACTAGTTGAATTGTATTTGCCCTCTTGTAGTCTTCCCATGCTTCCTCTCACTCTTCCTTCCATCAAATTCACATCCCTTTTAGTTCTTGATCGCTATGGCAATGAATTCAACTCCACGATACCTCCTTGGTTGTTCAATCTCACTAAACTATAGAGATGTTGGATTTCTTATCTAACAGTCTGACAGGAAAACTGCCTGATTCTTTGGGATATCTTAAAAGCTTGAGATACCTTGACTTGTCAGATAACTCACTTCAGGGTTCAATCCCAAAATCGATTCGAAATTTAACATCTTTGGAGGAGTTTAAACTTAGATTGAATCAAATGAGTGGGATTATCCCAAAAAGTCTTGGGGAGCTCTTATCGCTAGTTTCACTTGATATCTCTGGCAACACATGGGAAGGTGCCATTACAGAAGCTCATTTTGTGAAACTTGGAGGCCTGAGAAGAGTATCAATTGGAAACGATTCCCCAAACATCTCCTTGGTTTTCAACATAAGTTCTGATTGGATACCTCCTTTCAAATTAAGATACTTGGACATTATATCGTGGCAACTGGGTCCCAAATTTCCTACATGGCTTAGAAATCAGACTGAGTTGACCATGGTGGTACTCAATAATGCTAGGATTTCAGGCACCATACCAAATTGGTTTTTGCAGTTGGATTTGCAATTAGATATTATAGATGTTGCTTATAATCAACTAAGAGGCAGGGTGCCCAATTCATTAAGATTCAGCCATTATTCCCCTTTTGATTTGAGTTCAAACCTTTATGAGGGCCCACTCCCACTCTGGTCACAGTAGTGCTAGTGCTTCCATCCAACTCATCTCACTAATAATACTGTTAGGAATTTTATCCCTTGAAACCATTAAATTCGGTTTTGGCAGTGATGATCATAATGTGGGATGCATAGATATAGAGAGAGGAAAGCCCTTCTCAAGCTTAAACTAGGCCTCATAGATCCTTCCGGTCAGCTTTCGTCTTGGGTGGGAGAAGTTTGCTGCAAATGGAGTGGTGTAGGCTGTAACAACATTGCTGGACGTGTCAACAGGCTCGATCTTCGCAATCGCTATTCAGATGGGTGGGTTGGTGACGGAGCAACAAAGCATGCATTTAGTGGTGAGATCAACCCTTCTTTGCTTGTTTTGAAAGATTTGGTTCACTTGGATTTGAGCATGAATAACTTTGGAGGTGTTCAACTTCCAAGTTTCATTGGATCACTAGAGAAACTGAAATACCTCAATCTCTCTGGTGCATATCTCCCCCCAATCTTGGAAACCTCTCAGGGTTGCTTTATCTTGATCTTGGTAATAACATTGTTGAACCAATTGAGAATGACCTTCAGTGGCTTGCAACTCTTTCTTCCTTAAAGTACCTTAACTTGGAAGGAGTGAACCTTGCCAAGACTACATCCTATTGGCTTCCCACTGTTAATATGCTCCCTTCACTTGTTGAATTGCATTTGCCCGCTTGTGGACTTTCCATCCTTCCTCTCACTCTTCCTTCTATCAATTTCACATCCCTTTTGGTTCTTGATCTCTCTGGCAACTATTTCAACTGCACACTACCTCCTTGGTTGTTTAATCTCACTGAATTAGAGATGTTGGATTTGGCATTTAACAGACTAACAGGAAAACTGCCTGATTCTTTGGGATATCTTAAAAGCTTGAGACACCTCAACTTGTTGTGGAACTCATTTCAGGGTTCAATCCCAAAATCGATTGTAAACTTAACATCTTTGGGGGAGTTTGGATGGAATCAAATGAGTGGGATCATCCCAGAAAGTCTTGGGGAGGTCTCATCGTTGGTTTCACTTCATATCTCTCGCAACACATGGGAAGGTGCCATTACAGAAGCTCATTTTGCAAAACTTGGAGGCCTGAGAGATGTATCAATTGGTTCCCCAATCAATTCCATAGTTTTCAACATAAGTTCTGATTGGATACCTCCTTTCAAATTAAGATTCTTGTACATTAGATCATGCCAACTGGGTCCCAAATTTCCTTCATGTCTCAGAAATCAGACTGAGCTGACCACAGTAGTACTCAATAATGCTACGATTTTAGACACCATACCAAATTGGTTTTGGCAGTTGGATTTGCAATTATCTAATCTAGATGTTACTTATAATCGACTAAGTGGCAGGGTCCCCAATTCATTAAGATTCAGCTATTCTTCCATTGTTGATTTGAGTTCAAACCGCTTTGAGGGCCCTCTCTCCCACTCTGGTCCTCAAACATTACCTTGCTGTGTGTTAGAGACAATTTATTTTCAGGGCCAATTCCTCATAACATTGGTCAAGTGATGCCCAATTTGACATATCCAGACATTTCTAGGAACTCTATGAGTGGAAGCATTCCCCTGTCCTTTGGTAATTTAATCCAATTAGAAGTCATGCTTATCTTTGATAATAACTTGTCTGGTGAGATTCCTCATTTTCGGAACAATATACCATCATTGTATTTTTTAGACATGTCAAACAACAGCCTCTCTGGTACAATCCCAAGATCCTTAGGCTCTCTTACTTCACTCAGATTCTTGACCCTCTCTAGCAACAACTTTTCAGGTGAAGTTCCTTCCTTGAAAAACTGCACTGAGATGAAGATTCTTGATCTTGGTGATAACAAGTTTTCTGGACCGATTCCAGCTTCCATCAGAGAAAGCATGCTCTCTTTATCAATTTTAAGCTTGAGGTCTGTTCGGTTCATTTTTACACATGATTTTTCATGTTATTCACCCACTATTTTGAGTTAGTTCTTGACATTTTATAGCTTTTTACTTCCTTTTTGTGTTTTCTTAGATTTTACCTTGGTTGGAATGAAAATGAGCTAAAAGTGCACTATTTGTTATAATTTCTGTTTTTGTTCATTTTCGTAGGTCAACTTCTTGGCCTGGGATCAACATGCTCCGGTGCTCGGATGAGGTCATGATCTTCACGAGACTTGTTCCAATGGATGTTAACTACAACATATCCAAATTTGAGCTCCATTGGACAAGTATTGCC